GGAAACTGACATGGGTACAATGTATGTGTATTCACTGTCACTTTATGACACATGTAGATTACTCTAGCTATCACCACAATCAAGATAAGACTATCCCTTCACTGCAAAGATACCCCTTGGTGCTATCTCTTTAAAGTCACACCCATCCACCTACCCCTCAACCTTCCCAAACCCCTGGCAACAACTGTCTTGTTCTCCATCATCATAATTTTGTCATTTTGAGAATGTCATATAAATGGAATAATACATTATGTGACTTTTTGAGACTGGCTTTTTTCATTCAGCATAATGTTCTTGAGATCCGTCCAAGCTGTGGTGTATATCAGTAGATCATTCCTTTTTATTACTGATATCATATTCCATGGTATGGATATACCACAGTTTGTTTAACCGTTTACCTATTGTAGAACACATTGGTTGGTACAATCTGTGGCTAGTACAAATAAAGCTGGTATGAAAAACAATGCACATGTTTTTGTGTGGATATAAGTTTCCATTTTACTGGGTTTAACGCCCAAGAGTGGGATTGCTGCATCATATGGTAAGTGTACATTTAATTTTTAAAGAAACTATCAAATTATTTTCCAGTGTCTGTACCATTTTATATTCTACCAGCAATATATGAAAGATCTAGTTTCTCTGCATCCTCACCAGCATTTGGTATTGCTACTATTTTTTATTTTAGCTATTCTAACAAGTGTATAGTAATAACTCATCATGGCATTAATTTTCATTTCCCTAATAGCAAGTGATGTTGAACATCTTTTTAATATGCTTATCTGCCAATGCTATTAAGAATATATCCTCTTTGGTGAAATATTTCATGTCTTTTGCCCATTTTTTAATTGATTGTTTTAACTGTTGAGTTTTGAGAGCACTTTAAGTATTCTACATATGACTGTTTTGTCTTCTCATCCTTTTAACTGGGTCTTCTACAGAGTAAAAGTTTAAAATTTTGATCAAGTCCAACTTACCCATTTTTCCTTCTTTTATAGATTGTACTTTGCTGTACTATCTAACTACTCTTCACTAAGCCCCAGATCCTAAAGATTTTCTCCCATATAAAACTTCTAAAAACTTTTATAGTTTTACATTTAAATCTATGATCCACTTTGAGTTAATTTTTGTATAAGGTGTGAGACTTACGCTGAGGTTCTTTTTTTCCACCCCCACGAATATTCAATTGTTCTGCACTATTTGATGAAAAGACAATCCATTCTCCATTGAATTGCCTTTACACTTTTGTTAAAAAAAAAAAAATTAGCTGGCTATACTTGTGTGGGGTTATCTATTCTGTTATTGATTTATGTGCCTATCCTACTGCCAATACCAGTCTTGAGTATTGTGGCTATATAAATTTTGCAATCAGGTGGAGTGGTTCCTTCCATTTTTTTCTTCTTTTTCAAAATCGTTTTAGCTGTTCTAATTTGCCTTTCCATATAAATTTTAAAATCTTGCCAGGATTTTAGGAATTGAGTTAAGCCTATATATCAAATTAGGGAGAACTGATATCTTTAATATGTTGAGCCTTGATGATAAATTTTACCATCTTAAACTTTGATAATAGGTTAATGTACTTAGTTTTCTACCATTTGGACAAGAAGTACCTATTTGAAAAGGACTGTATATAAATTTAACAGAAAATTTACGCCACTACTATATTTAAAATAGATAACCAACAAGGACCTACTGTATAGCCATAGCACAGGAAACACTGATCAATATTCTGTAATAACCTAAATGGGAAAAGAATTTGAAAAAGAATAGATACGTGTATATGCGTAACTGAATCACTTTATTGTACACCTGAAACTAACACAACATTGTTAATCAACTGTGCTCCAATATAAAATAAAAATTAAAAAAAAGACAAACTGGTTTCCAGATTCATTACTATTTTAGTTTTTAGTAACAGTATCAGTTACTGAGACTGAAAAACAATGAAGAATTTTCTTGGGATAAAGAGAAAGGCAAATAATACTTCAAGGGAGGACAGCTGAGTAAAGAGGTCAGTTTTGCATTTTTTCCTCACCCATGTCTCCTATCTTTCTCTGTCTTCTGTTATCTCAGATAAAATGTGGGTCTAATGATATCATCTTCAAGTAATTTAACCTTTACTTAGTAGATTAAGTTGTCTTTTCCATTAAATAATAACTAACACTTTAAGAACATAATCAAAACAATGATAAATTATTGACAAAATAAAACTGATGTTGCAAAAGAAAAATACTGTGTATCTAAAGGGAACATAATTTTACAAAGCTGAAATGAGAATGCTGCTAATAAGACCTTTCGCTTAAAAAAAAAAAGACCTCTCCTTATCTGCCACTAGGTAAATAAAAACTTCACAAGTTGAAGTTTTGAAATATTGAATGTTTGTAAACTAGAATAAACTCCTAGTTAAGAGCTCAGGTCATGGAGTCAGATAGACCTGGCTCTACCTTGAACTAGCAACTTGATGTAGGGCAATTTACATAACTTCTTTGAGAATGTGTTTCCTCGTATGTAAGATGGATATATTTAATAATAGGACCTATGTCAAATAGAGTGGTGAAGCTTCAGATAATGTATATTAAGCACTAATTCGAATGCTTGGCATATGGTAATCACTCAATACACATTAATTACTATTATTTTTAATTCCTTTTTGTCTGGGCAAATTACATTTAGGCTTCCCTCCATAAGGACAGTTGTCCTAAATGGAGCCTATCAAGCTTTATGAATTTTAAGGTTCCTGATAGATACATTGTTTACAGTGGTCTTACTGTCTGCAAGTATACACTTCCCTTACTCCTAAGAACCATAATTTTAAGCTAATGAACTGAACTTAGATAAAACTGGGTGTTTGGTTCAACTTTAACATAGCTAGAACCCATCTTTTGAATTTCAGCCTCTTCAAAGTGGCCATGATAGTTTGCACAGTTAGAAATATGAATTTCTAATTGTACAAATTAGAAATTCTGCCAGTTGCACAATCAGAAGTCTGATTCCATTCCTTCATCAAAAGCCACAGTAGCTTTGGGATTTTGGAGGCACCCACCTTAGATGGGGCCAGAAAAATTAAATAATATGTAATTCAGGTGGTCTCATGTAGGTGAGTTACATGACCTCTGAACTGGACTTGATGGGAGAATCAAGGCAATTCTTTTGTTTTATTTGGTAGAGAGGTCAAGTTCTAATTTAATCTGTTCCTTGTTAATATTATGAGACTAAAAACAAATGTGGTAGTTAAAAAAAGTGGAAATTAATGATTAAAAAAATCCACTGCCTATGGATTTCAATGATCCTATCCATGGTTACCAAAAATCACTGAGAGATGAATTTAAATAGAATTAAGAGTTTGATAAGGAGTGGTAAAAGTATCATGATAAAAATTTTGATAATGTTGTTTGTTTTTGGTTCATTAATGAACCTGTGGTTATATGAGGTTATAGAATCAAATATAATCAAACGGGTAAAGAAAACTCAGATCATTAATGGAGAAGACAGAGACGTTTGGTGACTTTCTTTTTTTGTTTTCTTTTTTTTTTGGTCACACCATGTGGCTTGTGGGATCTTAGTTCCCTGATCAGGGATCGAACCCAGGCCCAGGGCAGTGAAAGCGCAGAGTCCTAACCACTGGACTGCCAGGGAATTCCCCAGGGACTTTCTGCGTATTATCTTGCTTGTATGAGTGAACATTCAGCACTTAAATTTCTGCTGTGTTTCAAAAGTTACTTTCTCCAACTTTAATTTTTTAATGGTTCAGGACTAGAAAGAATTTGCTGGACATTTTTAAAAGGCCACATGCTGGTACATGGTTGGTAGTGAAAAGAACATGGAAAGTTCTAATTATGCCGTAAGTAGAAGTTTAACCAATAATTGGATAATTCTTTTAAAAACATCAAGGCATTTTCTATCCCGGTTAATGTTAACACAGGGAAGAGTGATTAGAACATTCATTCCTTACATACTACTTATCCTGGGTTACACTTGCCAATTTAAATCATTTTCTTGAAATAATAGGTCCTGCATTCCTTAGAATCATTAGGACTAGTAATGGATACTGTATTTGACTGATTTTTCACATGCCCTGATTTCACAGCAAGGACCTAGTTGTACTCAATTACACCCACTCACTACCAAGACACACTGACTCAAGCAAACAAATGATTATACCTCAAAATCAAATTAATAGACTTCCAATGAATAAAAGTTCTAATTCTTCACTAGGATGTGATTAAAAAATTGTAAACATTTGAGTCTTTACAAAACATGTACTGAAACAATTTTGGCCTAAGATCAAGGAGATTTAAGAAGACTGACAAAGAATCTTTAAGTCTTTCTATAATTGCTTTCCACTCTACTTAAAATATAACAGTCACTGCAATTTCATAATAAGAAATAATTTTATAATCTTTTCAAATTTCTCTCTCCTTTTCTATTTTGGATCCTTGTGTCTTTTTTTTTTTTAATGACATAAAGACTTAAAACCTTGTATCTTTTATAAACCTAAATTCCTAAGAAACAGGGGCAGAGGATAAAATAAAGATTAAATTAAAATAAGATGTCAGATATGAAAGGAAAAAGATCAAGAGACCAGATGTCACATAAGGAAACTAAAAAATAATATGAAAACAAAACTAAAAACCATTTGCATGTGTGATAGGATACCAACATTTACGCTGCCTGGGTTATTTCTATGAAAGGAAAAAATATCTGGTAAAGGACGGACCTATAAGTATACTAGTACTATGCCATATTCTTACTCAAATAAGCTTACCTGTTTCTGTGTTAAGAAGTTCATAACCTGGGAAAAAAGCAACATTCTTTTGGCTAATATCAGGGTCAAGCATTAAGAAGCAAAATAAAATCCTGACTATGCTAAATAAGTTATAAAATTATCTGCTCTATCTACACTTTGGTATTTGTAAGGTAAATATTTAAACTTAAAAATAGACCCTTTCAAGTCATCTAAAGTTCTTGGTGGAAATGTAACATGATATGATAAATCTGGTTACCATTTAAATTTGAAGTACTTCATCCATTTTGGTGACAAAGGCGGTTTTAGCAGCTATCATTACATTCATTTAAATTTCAAAGTGCTTTGGGTCCTTCCAAGATGAACGTCCTTTCTTCCTTGCCTCTCATTCCTTAACTTATTTTCTGAAGATAGCAATGTTTACTGCAAGAGAACAACAAAAAATAGAGCTAAACTGGAGAAGTAAACTAGTTTTAAATATATTGGACATTTTCTTTCCTTTAGGATATTCTTAATTTCACACTCACTCAACCGTTAAAATTAGACTTATTCATTTAAGAAGTAACTTCCTTACTCAGGAAGAGACATGGATAGAATCTTACACACTCAAGAACTATCCATGCCATACCTAAGAACCAAGTAACTTATAGGAATCAAACTAGCTAGCACTGATGCACTTGAGGCTTTCTAAGACTTCATCTGATTGTTCTTGTATATTTCATTTTTTGGCTAGAAATATAAAAATAAGAAACATTAAACTCTATTTCACCTTTATAAAAATCCAATTCTAACAGTCACAATTTCCAACTTTGATACAGCCTCCGTTAAATATGAAAGTAGACATCTCCAATTGCAAAAGTTTCTCTAGCCACTTTGTAGTTTTACTTTAGGCTTAAGTATAAAATATATTTATAATTTGGTATACAAAACATCAATTTGCAGAGACATGGATGGATCTAGAGACTGTCATACAGAGTGAAGTAAGTCAGAAAGAGAAAAGCAAATATCGAATATTAACACATATATGTGGAATCTAGAAAAATGGTAAAGATGAACCTATTTGCAAAGCAGAAATAGAGACACAGATGTAGAGAACAAACATACGGGCGCCAAGGGAGGAAGCGGGGGTGGGATGTTGGGAGACTGGGATTGACATATATACACTACTATGTATAAAATAGACAACTAATGAGAACCTACTATATAGCACAGGGAACTCTACTTAATGCTCTGTGGTGACCTAAATGGAAAGGAAATCCAAAAAGGAGGGGATATATGTATAGTTATAGCTGATTCACTTTGCTGTACAGCACAAACTAACACAACATAGTAAAGCAACTATACTCCAATAAAAAAAGTTTAAATTAATAACTTCCTATTTCTGACTCTTCAGCACCAATTACATGCATGTTTAAACTGGCCCAACGCCTAATTTGTTTTCTCTATAACACCAAATACAAGGAAAATAATTGGAAAAGTTAAGAAGAAAGAAAAAGATAATGTGATCACTTTTTTTTTAACTTTTTAATATGGGAATTTTCAAATACATATACAAAAGTAAAGAGAATGATGAACCCACATACCCATCACCCAACTTTAACAGTTATCAACATTTTGCCATTCATCTTCATCTGTCCCTCACCTCAATTCATTCTCTCTCCTGGAATTATTTTTGTTGTTGTTGTTAGTTTCTGCTTTATAACAAAGTGAATCAGCGATACATATACATACGTTCCCATAACTCCTCCCTCTTGCGCCTCCCTCCCACCCTCCGTATCCCACCCCTCTAGGTGGTCACAAAGCATGGAGCTGATCTCCCTGTGCTATGCAGCTGCTGCCCACTAGCTATCTATTTTCATTTGGTACTGTATATATGTCCATGCCACTCTCTCACTTCGTCCCAGTTTACCCTTGTCCCTCCCCGTGTCCTCAAGTCCATTCTCTACGTCTGCGTCTTTATTCCTGTCCTGTCCCGAAATTCTTCAGAACCACTTTTTTTTTTTTTTTTTTGATTTTATATATATGTGTTAGCATACAGTATTTGTTTTTCTCTTTCTGACTTACTTCACTCTGTATCACAGACTCTAGGCCTATCCACCTCACTACAAATAACAATTTTGATTCTTTTTATGGCTGAGTAATATTCCATTGTATATATGTGCCACATCTTCTTTATCCATTCATCTGTCGATGGACACTTAGGTTGTTTCCATGTCCTGGCTATTGTAAATAGAGCTGCAATGAACATTGTGGTACATGACTCTTTGAATTACGGTCTTCAATGTGATCACTTTTAAATGATTCATGACTGTGCTTACATACTGTAGAACTGAACCTCTCAATAAATTTTAAGAAACAAAAAAGCATTTTAAAAAGGACGTTTTTGTTTGTGCAACATCAAACAATATCTAACTCTGACACAGCTGGGTTATTCATGATGAAAACAATACCCAATGTTCTTACAGTGCTTAAATCCACCACTTCATGTGGTACATAACGATGAGCAGCATGTAGGAGAAATATTACCAAGAAAAAATATATATAGATCACCAATAAATAGATGAAATGATGATGCCCAGTATCACATAAAGAGTGGCAAAATTAGTCTTCTTTCCATTATAAGTCTTTACAGAAGAAAAATGCAATTAATGCCTATTTTATTTTGAAATTTGAATATGAAAAGAAATTGAACTTATGGATATACAAATACTGATAACCTAGAAGAGTACTGATAGAGAAGTGAAGTGATTTCCCATGGGTAAGTGTTGGTTAGTGGAAAAACTGAAATGAGAACATACATCTCCTTACTCTTTCCTAATGCAGTGATTGATTATCCTTCCATAATCCACCCTGCATTCCTTTCCTCTCAGTCCCCAAAATAGTCTTTTTCTGAACGCTTTATTCTGATGTGTTTGGTAGAACTCAAACTCCAAATCTGAAATATCACCTCAACAACTTCCCATGTCAGCTATTACTTTCCACTAGGCTCTACAGAGTCTCCTCTACACATATGAACTTAGTGATCAAAGATATGAAAGGAAAAGACATATGCAGATTTTGAGGCTGCCTACTCTGTGCCTCCCTCCTTCCTAGGGATGCTCACCAATGAATTCCAGAACAACTGGCATGACTTGAACAGGGTTGTAGGTTAGATGGTAGTAACCTATCAACATTGAATTCCTGATTGTGATTATTTTATCCTGGTTATGTGGCAGAATGTCTTTGTAGGAAATGTACTCTAAAGAATTCAGAGGTGATGCAGTATAATGTCAGCAACTTACACTCAAGTGATTTAGGAAAAATTATCTGTACTATTCTTACAATTTGTATATAAGTTTGAAATTATTATAATATAAAAGGAAAAAAACGAGTAAATATATCAGTACATCTGTCACATTTCCAAAATGTCTTCTGTGGAAGTCTAATACAGCTAAATGCTTAAAGAAAAAGTAGTTCTACAGTGAAATAAATTTGGGTAAAGTTACTCACTGTATTCTTTCTTGGTGACTCACAATACATGTGAGCCTATCAAATATTCCTACAGATCATGCATTAGACATACTTTCAATTATCCATCCTTCCAGCCACATATAAATTACATACTTAAGGCCTACTATATGAAAGGAAATGTTCTGGGTAGTACAGATAGATAATAGGGAAGGCAAGATCTCTCACCTCAGAGAGCTTACTGTTTTAATACAGAAAGAGACAAATAAATAAATAAACTAATTTCAGATGGTGATAAGTGCTTTGAAGAAAATAAAACTGGGTGTTAGAGACTGGGAAGGTGGAGGTGCTGTTTTAGACAGTGTATCAAGGAAGGCCCTCTGAAGAGATGATGTTCAAGTTGAAATGAGCCAGAAATGGAAAAGTTTAGGGGAAGCATCTTCCAGACATAGGGCATACACGTCATGAAGATAGGAATAAGCTTATAATACTCATGGGGAAAAGTTTCTAAATTATCAAAATAATGAAATTTGTGTAAAAAATTTCTTAAAAATTCGTAACTTTTTTTAAAGTAACTAGGCAAGTTCTCTTTGGATGATGATTTTCTATTACTTCATAGCTTCTTTCAGAACCAATCCTTATTTTTATTTTATATTTGAAAACAAAGGTTATTCTCTCTCTGCATGTAAAAAGAAATAAATTGCCTGGTTTTTTTTTCTTTTTTGGTTTTTTTGTTTTCTGTTTGCTTTTCTCCTGGATGGTGTACTAGTGTGTTGGGAAAACATCATGAAGACATGTAGGCAGAAAAAGTATCCCCTGAATGAATGACTATATGCAGCTATGTTACTACCCACTCACTGAGGCAACAGCAGCATATACCTAAATTCAAGCCCTCTCTTCTAGAACTTCCACAGCACTGGATTTTGCGTATTGCCAAAGAACAACTTCAATTATATACCTTAAGGAAGGAAAATACACTTATTAGAGAATACAAACTACATAATCATTCAAGTGTGGCTCGAGTTAACTGTGTAAACATAACACCGAACAAAGTCATAGACTGTATATATCGACACTGCTTTACATATTAGACAAATTCTGAGTATTCTAAGAGGGGCCTGACTAGTATGCTAAGCTACAACAGGTAGAAAAAGAGAATATGCTTTGAAATGTGTTTTGTGTTCTAACTGGCTAACAGGGTTATGTGGAAGACAATACAGAAGCAAAGATGATGAAGAGAAGAGGCTGTATTCTCAAAATTGTGAACTAAGAAGAAAAATCCCTAGATCCTGTAAGTGGGGACAGCATGAAGTTAAAAATGATATAATGCTGGTGCGGGGCGGGGGGGCATTTTGTTTATGAGTACCAGGGCAACTTCATCACAAAATAAATAAATTTAGGATACATATATGCCAATTTCAAAACATTAATAAGATAGGCATATTGAAACAAAATAGGAAGGAAGGAATTTAACCTTGCATAATTAAAAAGAGAAAAGGTGCCAGTTTGAGAGTAAGATAAACTGGACATTAGCCCCAATTCCCCATTAACTGAGGAACCTCTGATATAACCTTTGACATTTTAAAATCTATCAAAGCCCTACAGGCTCAGTACTGTGTGATCTTATTTTCTTTGCTATTTAATTTAATAGTAGGGAACTATTTATTTAGTTCCCTAAGAATGAAAACACAACAGTCCAACAGGAATCCTACCGCTCACTTGGGAGCTTTTAATTCACATAGAGCAGGGACTGTCAAACTGTGACCCAGGGGCCAAGTCTGACCAGCCACCTGTTTATGTATGACCTGCAAGGTAAGAATGTAGTTTTTACATTTTTAAATAGCAGGAAAAAAAAGATCAAAATAAGAAAAATATTTTGAGGCATAAAAATAATATGAAACTCAAATTTCATTTTTATAGATAAAGTTTTATCAGAACACAGCTAGCACATTTAAAAATGTATCATCTAAGGGGCT